CATCTGCCATTTCACAGTTACTCACTACATATGCAGATCTTTTGTGAGAAAAATTATCACATGGACTCGAGACTTTTAGCACCAAGATTTTGCACACAATTTACTATTCTGTTTAAGTTATTTATAAAAATAAAAAAAAACTTTTAAAAACATGCCATGTTCTCAATAGAAAATATATTTTCAGGAATTGAGAACATCTGGAGTTTGATTATGTTTTAATATTTATAAAGAATTATATACAATAATACTGAAAGACTCCAATGATCTCTTCGTTTGTCAGTGGGGTGGTTTTTGGTTCTATGTAGTTTGGGTGCTATTCCTGAATTTGTATATTTACAAATAATGTATATCTTTTATACCTTTTTTCCCCCAAGTCTGTCCTTTCAGCCTTTTTTAGAACTAAGAATGACTTAAATCAGTGCATATCTTACAATACCTCATATGAGATTCTCCTCATTGCCACCCCTTCCTCTCACTGTGGGATAATATTTCAGGATAGCATGCTATGTTTATAAGTAATTTCCAGGCCATGAAAAATATGGAATAGTTTTGCTCGGCTAGCTCAGCACTAAAATCAGCATATTGCACTCTTTTTTTTGTTTCCAAAATATAGTTGAGGTCATAAGCTTACGTATACCATGTAGAATTTGCGAAATGTTAATAATTTAGACAAAAATAAGAGGGACCATAAATTGCTTGTTTTTTATGTGGTACTGCCTCAAATTAATTTCTTACTTAATGGTTGCTTATATAGTCCACAAAAGAGTAGCTGAATTTACAAAGAAGAACCAGTTCACAAGCTGAATGTTAAAACTGGATCAATGATAGTTAAATTGCCCACTTTTCTTTAGAAAAATCCTTCACACACCATTCCCAACAGTGACTGAATGATATCGAGACTCACACACAACTAATACAAAAGGTGCAAGCATTCATTGATGCTCAAGAAGCTTTTGATCATCCAGGCAACAACACACAGTATTAAGAATTGAACACTGGGTCCTTTCTGTAAATTCAATTATTTTGTCTTGTGGTATACAGTATAAGTAAACATTTGAAATATATTATTTTAAAAATAGCAGTACTAATAAAAACAACATGCAATTTTTATAATCCCTCTTATTTATTTATTTTTTATTTAAAATATTAAACTCATGTAACCTCAACTTAGGTAAACTTATGACTTGAACAGTATGTATTTAATATTGCCTTTTCAAATTACTTTTGGTGCAATAAAGTAGTTTCTTTTTCTTACTCAAGACGCATTAGAGAAAGTAATGAAAAATCCTTTAAATGTATTTTATTCAAATCTAATAGAATTTAATTCAAAGTAAACTATTTGCAAAAATTGCTTTTGAATTCAACCAAAAACCTATGAATCATGAATTGAACAGTCAACACAATGAAGACACAAAATTCAAGGAAAGAACAAAAGAACTTTACCCATTGATAAAAAGCCATATAATGTTAATATATATATATTTACAACATGTCATCCTGAGCTGCATGACCTCTGAAGCAAATTCTTCAACGTCTACTTCTTGGCATTACTTTTGGACACTAGGAGGTGCTATTTTTCAACAAAAAAAAGTAAAAATATGTACAGAAGAATTTTCAAATTGTAGGTTATGACACCCAATACAGAATTTGTATGAATTTGTTTATAATGCAAATGTAAATCCAAATGACTGCAAATCTAGCCTAAATCTAGAACTCAGTAACAAATGGCTTGTAGTTATTATACTTCCCATACACAGGGTTGGGCAAAGATACATCAACAAGTATTTTAAAATAAAATACCAAATACCTTAGTTTTAAGTGTATCAAGATAAACTTCCAAATACAGCAGCCACACAAGTATCAAAATAAACTACTGTATTTATAAAATAAAAAAGTACTATAAAAGTATACTAAAAAAATACTTTAACAAGGGAGCATGAAATTTCTTCGCAAACCTTCCATCAACTGGCCTATTTGATCTATCTCTTCACCATTACACTAACTACATTGATTAAGTAAACAATGTTTGATAGCAACAGCTTTTTTCTGCCCGAGCCATGCAATAATTCTGACATCCCTGTGATCTCCCAGATGAAGGTTAGTTTTAAAGTAACCAACAGTTTAATGTTTAACAGTTTGCGAATGGCTCATAATTGTATCCTAATTTAGTTACTTGGTGTTTGGTAACGAAGGGCCTACTTTGCATCAGCAACACTGACTCAATGACAAACAAGTCATTCATAAGAAGACAACTGATGGCACCTGTATTCATAGCAACTAGTTTCTAGCTAATTAATCATTTGATTGTTAATCATAAATATAATAATATATTATGTGTCAGTCATTCATGCAATAGTATGCAAAATCATGATCCTACTAAACAGCTACTTCAATTAGGGTACAATATTCAGTATATTCAATATATCAAACATTTATTTATCAATCATTGGACACCTATTTGGAAGTTGAAAACAAACATTTCAGCATTACAGCAATTATTAAATGATCAATATGTTTTACATTTTGATTTTAAATGTAGCCAGAAACGTAATCAGAACGTAGCAACAGAACTTGTCAAGGAGTATTAACCCAACTCCAACCACTCAATCTATTGAGAGCCATAGAAGTATATATACACTTATAATAAGTGCAATTGCACCAAGCACATCACATTCTATCACTCATTCATCCATGCTTCCTTTTCCACGCCAGCGTTCCAATAATTCCTGCCCACTAAAAGCTGCACGGATATACTATATGCTTACCCCGACAGGCCTACCTATGTAAACGATTTAGAAAAAGTTTATATCACTTTATATCATCGCCACGATATGTATTGTCATATCACCCAGCCCTAACATGCAGTGATGCTTTAAACACATTTGACAAGCTAGTTGATAAAAAAACAACAACCGATTAACTATTAAAAAACTAATTGGCTAACGCTATTTTTCCCCTTATCAGTGCTCTTTTATTCTTTCATGTTAACTGAAGGCAAATCTGAATGATGCACTATTTGAACTTTAATGAACATGTACAATTGACCATGACATCCTCACCTTATCTTATTACAGAAAAGTCACTCACCCAATGCTGAATGGAGTTGTGCAGCTGCAGCTCATGTAATGAATGTTGCTTGGGTGTTGAGAGGAGGGGGCGTGTCTGGACTAAATCAGCACCCTGATAAAGTGGTTGACTGGCACAAAGTATTTTATGTATTTTGAAAATACAAAAATACTAATCTTAAATGCATTTAAATACAAATTACATTTGATTTTTGCCAAAGGCTTTAACATACAAAAGCGTATTTTGATTTTCAAATACGTATTTTAAATACTGTGCATGGATCTGAAATACTGCCCATCTTCTTGTAATAACTTTTGTAACAGGGTTGAATTGTTGAGCTTTATGAATGCAACAAAACAATTGGCATATATGTAGAGAGAGAGAGAGAGAGAGAGAGAGAAAGAGTTCACTCCAAGGAACATATTTGTAGATTTATTGCTTCAAAAGAATCAACTGAAATTGCATACTCTTTGGAAATGTTTTAAATCTAACCTCTCAAAAGTAACTCCTGACTATCTAAGACAAAAGATGTGTGTCTTTTGCATGGTTGAGCCAAACCTAGACTGCCATGAATGAATCCTTTTAGTGTTTCCATCCGGTATATATTCACAAAGCATAATTTGGCTTTCATTGATTTCCTGTCATCTAAATTTTGCCATTTGGCTTGTCATTAGCCAACTTTGGCGTGTGTGTGTGTGTGTGTGTGTGAGAGAGAGAGCAGTTTTCTGTCCTTCAGATGATATTGAAAGGCCATCTCTCTGATGACTGTGGCATCCCTCATGAGCCAGCAGTAGGAATGCTGCACTCGGTCAATAGCATTTTAGTTCACTCTCTCAATGAACTGATCAAGGAGAGGATATGGGCTGCCACACACACACACACACACACACACACACACACTTCAGTTCAGAGAGAATCCCTGCATAAAATGAGTCAAGGCCAAGAATGATCATGTTCACACAGATGCCAACAACATGACATAAAACAGATGGTCATGTAAAAGCAAAACACTCATCTCATTAATCATGTGGCCTCTTTCTCACCAACATTATCTGTGACACATTTACAGTTTCATAAAACATTTATGAACACAACTCAAAATTATGATTTTTTTTGAAAAAAAATTAATTTTTAAAACTGTATAATCTTTCGAACTTTGCTATCAAATGCATACAGGCGCACTGAACACTCATTACACACTGAGATTAAAAACAGTAGATCATTGCCTTTTACATGAATCATATTTTTAGAACAACGTCTAAGAACTTTGTAATACAATACTTGTGTAATCAACACTGATTGCAGAAATATTCATGTAAAAAGAGTAATACGATTTTAAACAATTCCTGAACACAGTTTTGGTTTTGTGTTCACAATATTGTTTTAGGAAAATTAAGCCTTTAAAATGTAAATGAACAAAGCACATGAATAAAAGTTTTTTTTTTATTTTTTATTATCAAACAGCATACAGAAAGAGAGGAAAAGCTGATTCTGTAGTGTAACATGGCATTTCTTTTTGAAACAGTATTAAGAATCTCAAAATTATTGATATAATATGTCATATGATTGCCATGATAACATTCTCACATGCATATTTCTCATATTTCAGTCTTTCAGACCCTCATATTTATCCACTTTCCATGATTGTAGCATACCAGGGTCTGTAAAACTCTGTGGTCTGTTAGAGTGCACTTAAATTCTTAGTACAATTACAATTCAGTCAATTAAACCGTTAACTAAATCCTAACTTTTTATCAGCTACGCAATGTTAGTTATGAAAGTTATTATAAAGTGTAACAAAAGAAAAAGTAGTTTTTATATACTGGGATGTCTCTGGGTTGGTTGAGAGTCTGGGTGGGGTCTCAATTTTCCTTTTTTTTTAGGAAACAGAAACAAATTGCAAACAATTAAGTTGACAATACATGGCGATCTTGTACATTGCCTTTCGCTTTGAGTCACGAACAGTGCTCGCCCGGGGCAGTCCAGCCCTGGCAGCGGTGACGTCATCGAGCACTGGGTTGAGCAGCAGAGAGAGAGAGCTCGAGAGCGCGAGAGCGCTGCGGTGGAGTTCCTACGGGGGCCTGCGAACGGAGCACTGGGAGGACAACGAAAAGCACGCTCAACGGGATTTCCCATCTCTTCTGCACGCACCCACGCCGAGGCTAATCGGGATAAAGGCCGTTTCCATCCGCATCCCTTCGTTCCCCCCAAACTGTTGAGAGGCAACCTGTAAAGGTAAACAACAGCGAGCGCGTAAACTTGGTGCGTGAGCTTTTGTGGCAGCTTCACGGGAGGTGTATTCGGTGTTTCGTGGTTCACTAATAGACGTTTCGAGAGAAAGTCTAACTGAGAAGCGAAAGCCTTTTTAAATGGCTTATTATAACCCCACATAAGACTCGTGAAGTCACACACAGTGATTTTGTCTTCTAAATGTGCTGCTGGTTAAATACTGAATGAAGCTTTTGTGTGGCCACACCAATACAATAGCAGCGAGGGCAATAAGAATCGAGTCTTCGATTCTTTCTTTGCGAATCAGAGCTGACTTTTTTTAACGATATTGTTATTGTTTGTTTTTCTGTGTCACTGTGCAACACCACATGGCACAGTTGCAATTATTATTATTATTGTTATTATTATTTATTACTATAAAATAAAGTGCATTTTTATAAGGAGCAATTACTTTTTTTAAATGTGTCTGATATTAAGTGGACAATGCTACGATATTTATTTATTTATTATAACCAGGCAGGCCTAATTATTATGGTACAACAATAAAACAAATACATTTTTATAAGTATTTCAATGATATTTTGGCTTAACCTGTTTGGTTATGAAGGTTGCATACATTTTCAGCGTGGCCTAAACTTTTTATGTTAAAATATTAATATAAAAAATATTACAATTCAATTACGTATTTAGTCTTACAAAACGATGTCATTAAATTGTCAATGTTAAGCTTAAAACAATTCTAAAAATCTTAAAATTATTCATGCTTAAAGGAACTGTTCGCCCCTAAAAAAAAAAATTCTGTTGTCGCTTTCACCATTATTTCAAACCTGTTTGCGTTTCTTCTGTGGAACATAAAAGATGACATTGCAAGACCATTGGGGCTCAAACATTGTTTGGACCCCAAAGACTTTGATTTTATGAAAAAAATGTGTCCAACAGAAGAATGGAACACAAGGGTGGGTAAATGATGACTTCTATGTTTGGGTGATTGGCCGTTATGTCTAAAGTCAAACTATTCATGTAAACAACAGTAAGATATTAAAATCGTTTACCTCAAACACCATTGTTCCCTGTCGATCATACTGTTGTGTTAATGCTGTTGCCTGCATGGTGTTGTTGTTGTTTAGGGACCAACCAAAAGTTATTGATCAGTAGACCTAACAGTTAAAGTAGAAAAATTTCAATATTTGATTGCAGCATCGGTCCATAATCTCTGTCTGTCTTTCTCTTCAGTGTCTGTCACTCCGCCTTCTACCCTCCTGTGGTATTTCTGTGGAAAGGGAGCATCCCTGGCTCTTTCTGCAGCGTTCTAGACAGTGTGCATGCTAGAGATAACCGAATTGGACCATTTTCTGAATCCTGTAAGTCTCTCATTTGCTAAGAACAGGTCAAGCATAATGAACTGGCACCGTTTCCCTTCGCATTTTCATTTGTGGGCTGCAGTCGATAGTGGAAATCCGGTTGGTTATACTACATGCATTATGTCAATATCATATGGTGAGTGTGCTAAATTGGTCAGCTACGTCTTTTAGGGGATCAGATTTACCTTCTCTCACATGACATCAGAGTCAGATGCCGTATAGGATACTGCCAGCCCTCTCAAAGAGAGATGAGATTTAAGCTGTATTTAAATTCATTCAGATGTGTAAAAATGTCATAGTTTAAAGTGCTTCTAATGTATTAGAGAAGTGTTTTTTTTTTTGTATTTGGATCCCTTAAGCAAGTGAATTAGGCTCTTAGCAGTATAATTTGCAATGGTACATTTACCCTGTAAAGCCTAACATATAAAATAATTATCAGAAAAATCACAATTTTTTAAATGGAACCGTTTATTGAACCTTTAGTCAAAAGGCTTTTATGGCTCATATATTATGAGAATATGAAGCTCATACTCGTACAACTTTTTATTCAGAGGCCCAAAGAATGCAAAAATATGCAGATTGGTGCAGTTGCTGATATTTATATGGCCAACAACTAAGATGACATTTTGATAGCTTGTTAGCAGTATAATTTGCAATGGTACATTTACCCTGTAAAGCCTAACATATAAAATAATTATCAGAAAAATCACAATTTTTAAAATGGAACCGTTTATTGAACCTTTAGTCAAAAGGCTTTTATGGCTCATATATTATGAGAATATGAAGCTCATACTCGTACAACTTTTTATTCAGAGGCCCAAAGAATGCAAAAAATATGCAGATTGGTGCAGTTGCTGATATTTATATGGCCAACAACTAAGATGACATTTTGATAGCTTGTAATAATGGTATTGCAGAATGTTTGCCTAAAATGCACCAATAAGATGATATTTAAATGATTAGTTTTGATCAAAGCGCTGTAGTGTAAAGCAATACAATGATGATTGAGAGATGTACAAATAAACGTTCATCAAAAGCCTGTTGTATCATATTTGATACTCACATTTTAACATGATTTTTCTAAAAAGTGATGTATGAATAAGCAAGTAGCTAAATATAAGTTGCTTCAGTCCAGTAAGAATTTATCTTTTTTTTAAAAATACATTTATTTTTTATTTTCACATCACCAATTTAAAGAATCAGTTCAGTATACAAGTACACTTTTTTAATCACCCTTACACCCCTCACTAGACAGAACACTTAAATTTACGTTATTGCAAGGGATTGAGCTAATGTGTAAAATAGGTAAAACAAAATGAAGTGAAGTGAAGTGACATGTGGCCAAGTATGGTGACCCATACTCGGAATTAGTGCTCTGCATTTACCCATCCAAAGTGCACACACACAGCAGTGAACACACACAAACCGTGAACACACACCCGGAGCAGTGGGCAGCCATTTATGCTGCGGCGCCCGGGGAGCAGTTGGGGGTTCGGTGCCTTGCTCAAGGGCACCTCAGTCGTGGTATTGAAGGTGGGAGAGAGTGCTGTACATTCCCTCCCCACCTACAATTCCTGCCGGTACGAGACTCGAACCCACAACCTTTGGGTTATGAGTCCGACTCTCTAACCATTAGGCCACGACTTCCCCCAAATAGGTAAAGGTAAAGAAGGTTTACATTATCACATCAGCATTTTCAGTCAATGTAACATCCAAATTATTCATATATTCAATAGGTTTGCCCAAAATCTTTTCAAACATTGATGATTTTTTGTTTTCAGATTTCAGAGCCTTACTGACCTTATTGAGCAGTTATGATGGTCTGATTTTTGACCTGGAATTAAATTACTCAGTGCAGTAGAAAATGAATAATATCAAGGCGTTTAGTGTACATTGTAAACTATACATTTTGTCGTCATTAAGACTTTTTTTTCTTTACTGGCTTATCCTTCCCCCCATGCAGCGCAGGAACAGTGCAATTTGCAGCTCAGCGTGGATGATGCATATTTTATTAACAGTCTGGGAAAATGTAGCATCTCAATATTTCATCAGTGCACAGCTTGTCATCGGTGCCAGGAAAAAGTATGAAGCCCTCCAAAAATAGGCTCTGTTAAAAATTACCATGAGGAGGACAAATTACATGAGTTCCGACTCATTGTTTCTGACGGGGCATTATTAAAACTCTGGATCTCCAGAATAAGTCCCTGCTGAGCTCTGATCTCAGTAAAGACCTTGAGAAAGGTACTAACTTTGGGCACTTTTTGTTCCGCTCAAAATATTAGACAGCATTAAGGAAACAAAGGAGGAAAGGATTGTTGATGCACTTTTTCTGATCTCATGCTAATGTTAAATTGACGACTGCTTAATGTGGCAGATACATTGTGTGTGTGTTCTGACTTCATGTAATGTGCACGATCCTCTGTTCCAACATGACTGGCAGCGCATGTTATAAAGTATGTTATAAAACGGATATTCAAGGCTATTTTGCCTCATTTCCCACTATTTGAAAATATTTATTCAAACCTGCATGGTGTCCGGTGGACGTTGTGCCCCTGAATATGCGCCCAATTAGCCATGTGATTAATCCTGCCCTGTAGCAACATTATCTAATGATGACAGGGGCTTAAAGGAATTTTCTGGTTTTAGTACAAGTTAAGCTCAATTGACAGCATTTGTGGCATGTTGATTACCACAAAAAATATTCTGACTCAAGTCTCTGTTTCTTTGGAGGCTACGGCGAGGCACTTACAATGGAAGTAAATGGGACCCTTTTTTGGAGGATTAAACAGCAGAAATGTGAAGCTTATAAATTTACCACTTACATTAATTCTTCTATTAAAACTTGTATATAATTTTAGGAGTAAAGTTGTTTAACCCTGCAAAGCCTGACATATGAAATAATAGTCGGATTTTTTAAATCATATTTGAGATTTTATGGCTCATGTAGTATGATATAAGATAATATGGAGCTCATATTCAAGGAGTGGGAAAAACAAATTAATTTAGAAGCCCAACCTGAGCAAACATATACAGTTTGGTGCAGTTGAGGATATTTATAACATTTTATATTTTTATCTTTATATTTTTAAGATGGAATTCTGATAGCTTGTAAAGTCAATGAGATCTTTATGACAGAATAGCAGACTACTTACACAGAATTCTCTCAGCGAATATCTTACTAAGATGATATTTAAATGCTTGGTTTTATAATCAAAGCTCTCTAGTTTTTTTTAAATTGTGGGGTCAAAACATGCAATGCAATAAAATGATTGAGAGATGTACAAATAAATGTTTCTCAAAAGCCTGATGTATCATAATTTTATGCTTACATGTTAACATGATTTTCTAAAAAACAAACAATCATAATTGCTGTGGTTCTTCAAGCTGCTGCTTAAAAATATCTTAATGTTGGTTAACCAAACCACCACACGTGTTTGTATTTGATGTGAGGAAGTGGTATTATTCTCTACAAATTATAGGATTTATGTGAGATTTTAAATCTCAGCTAGAGACATAGCCTACATGTAGTTCCCAGAATCATGGCCAGATATACTGTATACTATACTTTTCATATGAAGCCGTCATGATTTTTCCTTTCTCTTTTTAGATTTGTTCCTTTCTCTTTGGCATTGACGCTGTTATTGAGTCTTGAACCAACTCTTGAATCTTGATGTCCCATTGATGGGAGCAAGCCTGTCGGTGTCTCCGTTAACTAAATGGCAGTTTATACTATACTGATTTTCAAAGTTGTGTGTTTTGTCATTTGGGTTTGTTTCCCATGAGTTCAAATGGTGTGTGGTGCATCAGTTTACAGGAACAACAGTCTATCCAGCCTGGCAACATGCAGTGTGAGCTGAATAAATTGATTGATTAATATAGATATTAATAGAACTGTGTTTGTGTGTGAAATATGGCTACTCTTGTCATAGCTGTCAGTTTTCCTTGTAATAGCATTAGCAACTTGGTTGACGTGTCTAGTTTAATAGACAATACATTATCCTGTGGTTTTATTTCATGTAATCTCATGGTGATTACATTGACCATTTCTCATATTTCATAATAAGCTGTTGTAGGAAGAAGACAGACTACTGCAGAGATATGTCTGAGGCCAGAACAGTTACAGTCTCAGCCTGGTGAGAGCCGTTTTTGGTAACACTTTACTTGAAGGGGTGTGCATAAGACTGGCATGACACCTTCATAATCATGACATTTACTGCCGTATGTTCAGGACATTCACAATGTTGCTTTTTTTGCTTACTTTATTTATTTATTTAATTAGTTCTGTTTGCCTTCACATTTAAGGCATTTTTTAATGCACCAAATTAAATACAATGTAATAAAAATTAATTATACCAATCATTTAGTATATAACAATGACAAATGTAAAAGAAGTCACGTGAACAAATTGTACCCTCATTCGTCTAAATGTTTGTGCACTGTTAATCAATTAAACCAAACTAGATGTGAAAATACCCTCATTTTGAAAGGTTCATCAATCATCTTTTTCTGTACAGTTTACATGACATCTAATTTTTTATTTTAATGCTCAATTAGGGCTTAAAGGGTTAGTTCACCCAAATATGAAAATTAGACTGTGTTTTACTCACCCCCGAGGCAGGTGTATATGACTTTCTTTCAGACGAATCCAGTCGGAGTTATATTAAAAATAGTCTTTGATCTTTCAAGCTGTTTAATGCCACTCAGCGGGTGTTACATTGCTTCAGTCCAAAAGAACTTAAAAAAAATCGCCCATCCATAAAAAAGTGTCTCACACTGCTCCGGGGGGTGAACAAAGGCCTTCTGTAGTGAATCGATGCGTTTTAGTAAGAAAAATATCCATATTCAAAACGATAATCACTTTAATGTAGTTTGCGCCAACAGAAGCAGTTCCGGGAGATGGTCAGTGCTGCGCATGCGCCGGTGAGTCTCGTGAAAACCAACGTTTGTTAACAGGATTAAAGGAAGCAAAGTTTCCTTACTTTAGCAAAGGAAAAAACCAG